TGTGAAGAAATTCCATATTAATCATAATAAAAGTGAAGGAAAAGCTTTCTCTCCAAAACAGCTGCTTCTCCCATGACTGCTCCAAATGTCATCAAACACTACGTCAATATTTTTCACTGCCATAATTGCGGTCCCGTTGTCTTTATTTTAACACTTTTCTGGAGGCTGTCTGTACATTTTCTGCTCCGTTAAACACAGGTTTTCGAGAGGAATAACCAGACAATCAATGCTCAGGTTACTACACATGGGGAAAGATGGGGAGATTTGATAGACAGCTCGCTCGCCGCCTGCGAGTTTCAAAACACGCCGTACGACTTATGAGAGGATATGAATGATTGGACAAGGCCTAACCCAAGCCCTCTACAATGTTTTTGACCAATGCTATTTTCATTCACCATAGAGCTTTCCACATGTATAATGGGGACTTGTCAGTAACATTAAAGCCCATGTTTAAAGGTGATGTCACTTGTATTTAATGTTACAAAATAATGCATATTTCTTTTGCTTTAAGACCCTGTGCTTTCATGTAGATTAAAGTAAGGTATTGCACATAACCCCTCCTCTTGGCATTTTGCAGTAAGATTTGCTGGGGGAGACTAGTTCAACCAATGGCAATAACTTGAACTAATTTAGTCTAATCAAGCAGATGTAAATGGAAGCATGGGCGGAGCTAACAAGAAAAAGTTTAGTCTGCTGTTCATTTTCATAATCTCTTATCACACAGACATGAACACCTTTAGTGGCAGTGCTGCACTTCAAAGCTTGTAGCAGAAAAGTATTACGAATTCAGAGATTAATTAACACTGTTGTCCATGAACCAAAACAATATTTTACAAAAACAAAAAATGTGTTGGATAAGAACACATACAAAAGCCCTTTGTTCCCAATACTGAAGGTTGTAATTACAGCAATTTCTTAAATAAGAGAGTAAGAGATAAATAATATCAAAAAATGATTAACAAAATAAATAGATTTCCTTTTTACGGGAAAATAACCATAGCGTGCCTTTTTCTCATCACATTTTAAACCTATGCTCTTTAGAAATTCAAGTATTACAAAACAAACATGCTCAAACATGAACTGACCCCAACAAGGTCTGGGGTACCTCATCTTTCAAACCACAAAACACAAAACTTGCTAACTAGTTCCTCGCTCTCAAAGCAGCTTGGTTCTATCACTAGATGTCACGTGTCTTCCAATTAGATGCAAAAATCATATAGTGGTCTAAAAACTATTATGTTTAACTGTGAATACAACTGAAAGATTCTATTGTGGCTCTTTTGAATGGGTTAGGGTTAGGGTTAGGTTTGCCTTGTATTGGGTTTTACGGTTTCTACTTTGCCTTGTCTATGAACTCTGCTACACAAAACAAACTTACCTTGCCTTGAGTTGTAGACAACATTATACTTAATTATACTCTTTTTGTTGGTTCAAACAACATGGACTGTTTATGAAAATGAAAGTTACGCACCACAGCTTTAGCATCACTAACTAGGTGGCCTCTGTGCACTGCTGTTTTGCTTCTACCTCATAAACTGGCCTTTACAAGTCCACATGGGTGTTGTCCACTCCACTCTGAGCCGTCGATGGTGTGATGTAGCTGTAAAGAGCCAGACAGCGCTGCCCCGAAAACCACAGGCCGCCTTCTCCAGACTGCGAGGCCTTTTTGCCATACGAGTAACTCAACTCCCTTTTCCTTTTTCTATCCCACCGCTATTTGACAAAACCCCAATCAGGAGCGCGGGGGCCGACCACAAAGAAATGCCGCTGATTACAGCCTAATACACACGTAGTTACAAATATGCTCACATTCTGATTGCTCGTATCGCTTACACGGTGAAGCCAGGATGATCGGCATGCAGCCTTTAGGGGCAAGAGTTCGAAGGCTTAACCTCTGGATGGAAGCTCAGGAAGAGTGTGCCTTGGACTGCCGTGCCCCCCAGCACAAATAAACAGCCACAACACAAAAATGTCTGGCAGTCTCGAAACAATTTCCTGAAGGATATGTCACTGCTCAGGAGCGAGATGAGCCGGTGCAGGATTCAACGGGGAGCTCTGAACAAGGGGACAAAATAGAGAGAAAGATTAAGTAGCAGATGAAAAAAAGGGGGGAAAGAGGGAAAACTGAAATTGAACCGGCCGCTCTGGAAAACGAAGAGCTGAGAAATTGTTCATCTGGGCTGTTTACGCAATCATCAAGCCGCCGTGAGTGGCAGTGTCGGCCCAGAGCAAACACAGACGCATTTATTTGGAGACATGAGGGAATCTCGCATCCGTCTCACCATCCGTCCCTTCCACCGGCGAGCTCATTCACGGCGCACTGACAGCTCGCGTTTGCACCTATATAAGACTCTGACGGAAGAAAAAAAAACGTCTTGCGCTCTGATAAGCTACAGAACTTCTTCACTGTGCATTAGCGAACGCACGGACGCTGCTGTTGCACTTAATCTAGGAGCGGGTTGGATTTTGGATGTTGGATGCGCCTTGTGTGGATTGGCAGTTTCTCAAGAGTACTGTATATTTGAATGTGCGTACGAGGCCTGCTGCTTATTTATGCCTATGTGTACGTGTCTGCTCCTGTTACTGTGTTTTCGTGCTGTGGTCGGGGTTGGAATGGCGCACGGACATCTTGCAGCGCGGTGAATTCACAGAAACAAGCTCAGGCTTTGGCTTGCGCAGCTATTTAGACTCTGTATTTATGCATTGGACGACCGCAGTCATCTCTATCAGAGCACAGAATTCCGTGTTTGTTTGCTTTGCTCAGCGTTGATCTGATTCCATCAAGAACCTCTCTCTCTCGCTCTCTCGCTCCCTCATCTACTTGTTTTGCGCACAAATGCTCTCGCCCAGTTTCATCAGTCCCTTCTCAAAGCTGACCAAGCATGCAGTGTTTCCATAGCAAAGATGCAACATTAAACTAACAACCTCCATAATTATACGTCCATATTTCTCCGATGAGTTTGTGTAAACACGCTGGGGCTCTAGTGTGGGGAGCGACTCTTGGCAGGCCCCGGACATTGGTGCCTCTGAATGGCTGTCGGAAAACAAAGCCATTTCAGAGTGTGCCTTGGAAAAGGGAAGGCAGCGTTCGTGGACAGAGTTGGATCCGTCTGACAGGCAGGGAGCTGTGATTTGAGCTTAGCTATTGGCCACACTAGAAAGACATTGAGAATATGTGTTGTTGGCAAACCAGAGGGCAAACAACCTCAGACACTGCAGATGGAGAAAAAAAATATGCATGTTCCTGATTATGGGCTGTCGACGCTCCATCATGCACTTATGTTTTTTTAAAGAGCCATTCCGGACCGTCCAGTGCATTACAGTCCTCACACATTTGCCCATCTTCAGCGCTTTGCATGTACTTTCCCTAATCATTGCTGACTAAGGTCCAAACATGAATCTCTCTTGCAGTTTTGAATGTTTCCTCTCCCTTTGCCTAAAGCTATTTCAGCTCAGCATAGGCTACAGTTACTGCCTAGTGGATGGAATTAAGGACAATCAGCAAACTGCTTCCAACAATTGAAAAAGTCATTCAGCGAAGAGCTAGCAAATGAGATTTTGTTCGCTGTGAGCAGAAACAAAAATCAACAGAGTTGTTTTTGCTTGGAGTTTGCTCTGTGGTCTCTCGCGGTCCGTTTGTTGAGAGGAGATCTGAGATATCAGTTAACAAATGTGACTTGTGCACAGGCTCCCACAGACACACTTAACCAGGCCGTGGTAGAGTAATAGAAGGAGAAAGAGCTGTTAGAGGAGAGAGGAGCGAGGAGAGGGGCCCTCGACCGCCTGATAACATATTCTAATAAGATAAGCAGGAAGCAGCGCAGGGAGGATGAGTGTCTGCATTTGGAGATGCACAGAGCGGACTAATTGAGATGAATACATGAATATATCAGTTTCATCTGCAGCAGCCGTATCCCATAGTAACCATTCAGTCACACGAGTGGGATCTTGCTAAAAAACCAGCACCCATTCCCCAGCCCCGCCTCCGCTCTAAACAAACTGCTGTGCAATAAACGCCAGGCAATAAGCAGCCACAATAACTGCACCCTCCCGGAGAAGAGCTCTGGGCCTGGTAGATCTGCACAGCCAGCACAAAGCCATATATTACTCTGGCATGCTAATAAACAGTGGTCTACCTCTCTCACTGAGGGTTAAATCTCCTTATCCTGGGCCGTGCTGCTTCACCGGAGCTTCCCTGACCTGTTAGCTGTCTCTCCTTTGAAAATGAAATCCGTTAAGGCTTACTCATTAGCTGCTTAAAACGCTAAGCTGAAGCATCGATGACAGTTATGGGTAGACAATTGACGTGTGATGTGATTGTCTCAAAGGATCCACCGCTGAATGATCGCACAGCTGTGTCCAAGCTACAACAGACAGACTAAAAGGCATTTATAAGCTTTCGATTGACTAAGTACCCATTTTTATCCCATTACATTGACTGTGATGACAGCTAAAGAAGAAACATATTGAAAAGCTACACTTGGAATGCAATTATCATAACATGTTTTGAAGACAGATGTTAGCAAATGTGTATAATGGTTTTCTGTATTTCTTTTCGGATTCTGTTCTGACAAGGGAGTGAAAAATTGGTCTTGGACATATTCAAGTTACGATACAACCAAACACATTATTCTAAGCTTCTGCTGCTCTGAAGAAAGTGGAGGCGAGGTAGCATCAAAGTATCAAAGTGAATCCTACACATTATCTAATTAACTAAATGGTGTCCTGTTACAGTGGGAAGTTACCAGATGCTAACGTTTGCTTGGTCAAATTATGAAAAACAAGTGAAAGCATTGAAGATATTATATGTGTTTTCTCGCAATTGTCGAATCAGTTTTAATTGTTATGTTAATTTCATGACTAAGAGATGACATTTAACACGTCTTTTCAAAGCGTGGTCGGTGCTGGTCGAGCTGCATCGTAATTTGTCTCTTGATCTGAGGTTTAATAGCCTGTGTGTTGTCTTCATTACAGCGCCGTGCACCTGCGTGGGAGAATGCATGCGCACATATGCCGCGGCGCCCGTGTCCTCTAAATGTAGGCCAAGTCTGGATATGGCCGTGCAACCTGCTCCAGCCGGGATTTTCAACCTTGACCTTCAAAGTCTCCCCAAGGCCGAGACGGTAAGCTTAAGGAGAAAGCAGGAATGAATTGCAATGCAGAACAGACAAGACAAGCTTCCTCAGAGGTTTTTTTTTTTTCTTTTTGGAGAGAGGGGTGCGAAGTGTGTAGGCAGAAGAGAGAGAATATAAAGAATAGAGAAAAAAACAGCGGTATAGCGAAAGGTGCCCACGCGTTTTCATTCCGAATGTGATATATATATATATATATGCAACAAGGAGCCGAACCTTAATCCTTTCAGGTGTGAGCGCGACAGCTGTATCATTCCCTGCGGTGTCAAAATTCACTCAGTCGGAGGTTTGTTTCTGCAGAGATGGGGGTCAATGTTCGAAGAAAGACATAAGCGACAAGTTCTGCAGTTATTTCCAAAGTGCAGTGATTTGATTGACTTTGTTCGCAATATAATACGAGACAAAAGTATACTTTGCTGAGGTTAAGTGTGTGAGCTCCAAGCCTGAATGAAAAGAACAAGTGAACCAAGAATGGAGTAAGGTACATCTCATCATGGCTTCTAGTGTAGTTATGGCCTAAAAGTGCCAGAAACATTATGCAGGGTTGAAAAAGATACTTGATTTTAAATTGCAAGGTCTGCTTGGCATCCCTTTTGTCCACAGTGGCGAAATAAAAAGGAAAAATTTAAAATAACTCCTAAAATTTTTTATCAGATTAGTATATTGAAATATGGGTATGCATGCCTTACAGATTATTATAGATTATTATCGTTGTAATGTCATGTCATTCTCTTCCTGTTTTTTGTCCATTTCTCGGTCGGGCAGGTGGCAATCAGAGATGCCACCCAATTCCCAAAGCACCAGTCCCTCGCTGATCTTCCTGCAGGTGGTGGGTCCACAGGATGATGGCTTCTCTGTCATCGAAGACATGGCCTTGGTCTTTCAGCGGAGCCTTCAGGCAAAGTGAGGTTAAGTGTCTTGCCCAATGACACATCGACAGCGGACATCAGTGGGAGCAGGTGACATGGGTCTTGCAGTGATCGAACCCACAACCAAAAAACCAATGCTCTACACACTGAGCCACTGTTGTCCCATAGTTGTATTGTGTATTATGTAATATTTAATTAATCCGTGGAGTTTTCAATGAAAAAAACAGTTTCAAAAATCTGTACTGAAACTTCTGCTGTAATATTGTTCATATTGTTAATTTGTAAATGCGCTGATTCTGTTTTTTTTTTCAATCACACATTGCACAAAATCAAGGCATGGCATTAACATATGCATATAGTTTACATATATTTGCACAGATTTCATTTCCCTAATTTGACCAAAAATATCCGACATTATGAGACACACATTTCTCCCATTTTACAATTCACTGAAGCTGAAAACCCAAAGTTCACATGGTGTCAAACGCACTTTGCCAAGAGTCCTTTATGAAAAATGGCCGACACCAGCGCGCAGTTGTTGCCAGTAGATTAAAACAAAGCAACAGGCATTTTCGATTTATGTGCAGTGACTCGCTGTTTTCTTAAAAGTCCACTTCACCCGGAAAGTCAAAAAAGCGAGTGACAAGAAGTAGAAACAACTTTGCCGCTTACTGTGAGCTGCCATTATGCATTACTCTGAGGCAATCTTGTGAAGGTGAGATAGAGTGAGGCGGTAAGTAGAGAGAGAAAAAAGAAGAAGAAAAAAATTGTGAGGGAAGTCTGTGTCTGAAGGTCCTGCGCTGGTAAAGGCAGATGTGGAGTGACAGCTGTCGAGAAGCATCAGGGGCACACAAATCAAATGCTAGAGGAGCGGGCCGAGGCGGGCTACCTATGTTTGCTGCCTTAAAGCCGATCCCTTATAGAGGACGGGGAGACTCAGCCTTGGCGAGTCACGGCGAACAAATCAACCAACAAGCACGCCGCCTTCTTTCAATAGACAAAGCACAGAAAGTTGGTTCTTTGGTCTATTGGGAAGGAGCAGATAGACTTTCTCTGCATGCAGTGCTGTGAATATGTCTGTGGCAGGTTCCAGTGAGGTGTAGCAAAGTAAAAACAATGAAAGAAAAGTACTATATATATACAGTATTTGTGTGGGTGAAGACCGGTGTCAATGTTCTCTCGCAGAGGTGATTGTATTTGGTTGTGCAATGATGACATTTTAGGTGCTGGTTTTTCAGAAATGGGATTTTAAACAGAGAAAAAGGTAGGGTCCTGGAACCAAATGAAAGAGGAGTACTGAAATTAAAAACAGAAATAAACATGACAGAAATATGCAATATAGATGTATGGATAAATGTATGTTGAGGAGGGCACATCACACTTCTCTGAGATGTGTATAATATTCTTTGACACCTACGCCTCATCTAGTGCCTTCCAATATTGATCAAAATGTTATAATTAATATGTCCATGTACCCATTATTGTTATTATAAGATAAGATAAGATGTGCTTTATTTATCTCACATAGGAGAAATTTACATTTATTGTCATCATTATATTGTATTATTCTATTCTATCTGCTATTCATAAAGAAGCACTGTCCCATTGAATTAAATCTTACAAAATGATTACATTCGGAAGTACTGCCCCTTTTCTCAACATCAATATGTCCTGCAAACAAAAACGGCTTTGAAAAGCTGTAGAATCATACAGATACATGAAAAAGATAATTGGTGAATGAAGAAAGTCAAAACAGTGGGAGTGGCTATGAAAATAATAACTCTGGTGCACACTGGGGTAGTTTTACACAGTTTTTCCAATGTGGTTTCACCGCAAATGGCAAATCAATTCTTGAATCTTGAAAATAGTGGCTATGATTTGCACTAAAACCAACTTCTATGTCTAAATTACCATGGAAATAACCATATATAACCAAAAGCTATAATACATTGATTTTGTGTGTTAGATTAGCTTAAGATAAGATTTGTATGATGGCCAATGCAAGGACAAATAAGTCCATTTCATTACACAAAGTTAAATCTGGGCTGCATCGCAAAACGAAAGGGCCATTCTTGACATTTTCATAACGATAATCAGACTTTATTAAAAAAAATTGTCAAAGCACTCTAGTTAACAGTGTTTTTCACACTTTGCACTATTGTTTGTGCGTGTAATGCCTGGACTTACGCTTGTCTCTCTTGTTTTTGCTGGTCTTTTTCCAACATTATTTTTTTATTATTTTTTTATTTTCTTGCTTAAAAGCCTTTGGAGTCTCACCCCTAAAATGCAACACAGCCATTTTCCCTCCCAAACAGCTCATTTTCAAAGCCTGTGTTTGGACGGCGCTCTGAAATACTGGCAGTTTGGGGCGGTAGGCTTAATACATTAGAGATGGGGCAGAGGATGAGAGTGCTGTAAGTACGTCCCATTTGTTTTATCAGTTCAAAGCAAAAACGCCAAAAAGACTGAAATACTAAATACGATGACAAATATCCTACTTTTCGACGACGTGTTTTTTTGCAGCCACGGCACATTTTAATGAACTGATTCCGATCGCGGGTCCAGTAAAATCTGTGTGCCAGTTCCGTGCCTGTGTAAAAGCAGAAGGTAGAAGCAGACATCTGGACCTGTGGCCGAGGTCCAAAGAAAGCACTCATGACATGCAGGCAGCGGAGAACTCACAAGAACAGAACGGATTCACTGAAAGAAAGGTCGTATTATATCATATACTTATTATAACCCGACTTTATGACTGTAATCCCTTCTCATCAGCTGACTAGAAGAACTATTACGCAAGTACATTTGAGAAAGTGCTTTTTAAAACAATATTATTAACATGATCAATTTATGTTTTCTTTTCTTTTTTTATCTTTTTTTTGTATGTATTAATTGTTTCAACATATCTTTGTTCATACCCAAGTGAGCCTATTACATGTATTTATCTATATCTATGTATTTTTTTTATTTTTTTTGATTAACTGAAACTATACAGATAATAGTGAGACTGCTGGTTTGCAATACAAATATTACAAAAATAATACATTAAAATGCATATAGAAATAATAATATGAATAGTTTGTGTAAAATATATAGCATGCAAAAATGATGGTGGTCCGTCGGTCCTCTCCATGATTGGTCTACAGTTGTGGTAGTTCCTTCTTGCGTCTAGCATTGGCCAGGTTTGGGTCCAGATTTTACTTTATTCAAGTGTTTAATCACACTGAACATGACAAATTATGATCAATGATAAATAACGTAATTCATTCCTGTATTTAAATTATGTTCACGGGGTGGGAATCGACAGGTTTTTACTTCTTTCCCACTCTATTTCAAGCTGACATATTGTAAATAGAAATACATCTCCATAAACTAAGGAATACTTGTAAATACTTATGAATGTAAAATTTCAGCTCAAATGAATAATATCAATCTATACTTGTTTTTATATACAAATGATTTTTCAATTGAAATGCCTCTATATGATGAGGTGAGGTCAAAGTTCAAAATGCCATCTCAGTAACATTCTCAACTAATCCACACGTTTAAATCTCCTATGTTCACAAATATTTACGCACGTCCTGAACTGGCCATAGAATGTGTAAAACATCCCTTTGCTCCAGACAACTCCCCCAGGGTCAGTTTGTATGTCTCCATCACGCTGAGGAGGTGGTGACGGACAGCACAGGCGGAGAGGTGGCGGCCTGGACTTTAGATCAGTTGGAGGGTTATCATGACCGAGCTCCCGCTGTGCTTGCCCCCACCTCTCGTCCGCCAGCTCTGCCCTTTCACCCCCAAGCGACTCCTGTCAGAGCCGTTAGGGAGACGGACGGGAACGAGTGGTCACCCTGCTCCCCCCTGCTGGGAGAGAGCAGCACATGCAAACAAATAAGACGCAAACGCACACACACACACACACACACACACACATGCACGCACCATTTGCTGTTTAGTTTACCCTTTAACAACACGCGCGCACAGACCTTAGGAGTTGACATGTGGTAAGTCGGGGGGAAAGAGCATGGAATGACCTAATGTCCCTGCTTAAAGCTTATTTGAGCGTCTGAATAGTCAATGAAAGATGACTGCTTTATTCTGATGTCTTTACTCTCTTAAAGCTGGACAACCTAACTTTTAAATCACACAAAAATTAACCGTTTGGTAAAAAAAACCCATGTTACTAAATATCCAGCTTCCTCCCCACCTGAATTTGCCTTTCAAACAGCGGATTTGGAGACCCGTTTTAAGTATTTTATATTGCATTTCTGCTCTTTTACTGTATTTATATTTAGATATGGTGTTTTTATGTACCTCCATTGGTGCTCTGTCTGTAAATAAAGTTCCTTACGTATAAAAACAGTTATTTCAATTGAATTGAATTGAGTAAACTGTTTGCTTCTATTACTAGTTTTCACAAATAGTTTCTAGTCCATCTTCAGACAGTCCTCAATCAGCCAATGAGCTCTTAGAATGTAAAATATGATAATGAAACACAAAAGTTGCGTATTCTAGCTTTATAATGAAACCCAGTTGATATTAAAAATTATAGATTGAGGTATTTTTGACATGGGTTTTAATTATCAACAAATATTGGTTCAAAGACATTTCAATCTATGTAGACAATAAATATGCCGTTGTGTTTTTATAATACACACAAAAGTATGTATGTGGAAAAAGGAATCACACAAGTATACAATAATATGGATTCATCAAATAAATAGAAGTATGGTAAACTAGTACAGTAGTATGTACAGCTGAATCCTGAAACATCATATTTACTTTGTTCTAACTGATGTGATACAAAAGAGACAAATTCTAGCTGTTGTTTTTGTTATTTTGACTAAAAATCTAACAACTTTACAAAGAATGTAAAGTTGTCAGTGTGACGGACAACAAGCACACGTTTCATATCAAAGCCCTCTTGACACGGACATGGAAATCTTTCTAATGAGATCGTAAAAAAGTGACTGGTTCATTGCAGGTAATTAAGACGTTTCTGGACTATCAGCAACACGAGGAAAACAGTTTGAGTTTAAGAATGATCTACGGCTGGAGACAAACGGCGAGGAGGGATTCAAAGCCCAAAAGATCAATGGGCGGACAGGAAGAAGCTTTGCAGAAGAATGTCCACTCCCCATGTGCGTCTTCTTCATCTCAAAGCGCGGCGGCCATGTTTGACTGTTAATCAGCCCAAGATAAGCCTCGTCTTTATGGGCCAGGGCAGATTTACGCCCCTCTGCTGACCGGCTGGACCACATTCCCAGCAAAGATGGCGGGGATAACACAGGCTCTCCACTCACGGGGGGATAAGCTGTCCTAAAAAAGCCCCGCAACACACAACACACACATCAGTAGAGAGAGCAAGGGTGGGAAAAGCCGCCGTTGCAGGTGCTTGCTCGCTATCCCACCAGGACCGACGCTCTCGCATATGAGATAGAACACATGGCTATAATGGTCATGATAAATGAAATGTGTCACGGTGTGTGCACAAGCCGCGCCAGAATAAATAAAGCAAGCTCATCCCTGTTGCAAAGGACAACAACATTAGCATAATACCAAGACAAATTCTACATCCAATTACTGCTGACGCCAAGATGTTACAGTATATGAGCCTAATAATGATCCAACGCCGAGCCTGATCCTGCGCGCACATGCTGGCGGCGAAGGATTTACAACTACTAAGAAGTTTATGAACGGAGATGTTTTAGAGATAATGTCAAAGAGGCCATATTGGAATGGTTTGAAGTGAAGGTATTGCATGGAAGGATGCTAAATTGTGGGCTTTTTATCTGTTATATGTGTGCAACCTGCAGATCAAACATTTATCGACAACATTATGACACTCGGTATTTGTCAAAAACAACTTGAAGGAGTCTGGAAATCGGCATTTAAAGCAACTATGATGAAGTTACAGTGCGATCATGTTGTTTAGCTGTGTGTTTTTCCTATGAGGACTATGGATTCTATTTAGCTAACGTGCTAATTCCAGAATAGATAAGTTAAAGCGGTTTGCAGACATATAAGCTACAACGTCACAAACTAACCATGTGCTTTCCAACATGAGGTGACTGGGTATTAATGATGTTTTTAAAAAAGCAGAGGTGTTGGAGCAATGGGACTTGGATAAAGATTACGCAAACATTCATAATTACAACTGTGAGTGTGTGGGTGTCAAGGGAAAACTATTAATTGAAGCCTAATTTATTTATTCATTGATTTATTTATTCAACCAGGACTTCCCCAGTGACAATTCAGAATCTATTTTTTTTTCTTCAGGAGAATCCTTGCCCCAGAAAGAGGAGAGCAACTGCACATGTTTTGTAGTAGTAGGGGAAACCAGAACACCTGGAGGAAAACCTAGGCAGACGCAGGGAGAACATGCAAAATGCAGGTGGAATTATGCTAACCACTCAGCTACCCATTGTGTTTAACCGTGCACTGTAGCTGATGTTGAAATCACTCAACTCAGAGACCGATAGGTTCTCAAATTGCGGTTCAAGTACGGCTACATGAGAGTGCCTACAAGCATAATGTGGCCGAAAACTTTTAGTACCGCACCCTGAAAGCAAAAGACAAAGAGGGAAAAGTTTACAGACGGTAGCATTATGTCGCTGGTGCTAAGTATTCATCACACCAGGACGATGTGTTGGAAGTGCTGTGGGGAAGCAGTAAAAAAGCAGAAGCTGTTTTTGTGTGTGCGCGTGTGTCTTTGTGTGTGTGTGTGTGTGTGTATGTGTGCGCACAACTTTGATCACGGGGCGCAGTCAAAACCCAGGCCTACGCACATGTCACTAATAGAGCCGTTCAAATATTTATGATGCAATCAGTAGACACGCACGACAAAAGAATTACCAAAAAGTGTGAGCAGATGCTTCAAAAATGCCCAAGGTGTTTTCTCAAGACATGTGGGTGTAATAAAGCACAGATATGTATTATTTTTTTTTTTGGGGGGGGGGGACGTCCACATGATGTTTCCAGTCCACAGAAGCAGAAATGAAAATATGTCGGTTGATAGCATCTCTTCACTATCTGGATGTATCGATGAAACTAGCTAGCATCAAAAGAAATCAAAGGGAGATGTACAAGATTTGATTAAAAGCAAGCCCATGGAATACATTAAGCCTTCTTTATTTTTCTGCCATTAGCGGCGAGAGAAAAGCAAGACATTAAGATATGCATATGAAAGAAGAAATGTTATGCAAGGACTTTTTTTCAACTCTTCCACAAGTCATTTTTCTTAAATAAGAGACGGATCGTTTTCCTCATTCAAAGAGAAGCCGCGATCGACTCCTCACCGCAAAGTCCTTTTGACACCGGGCCGCGTGTTGCGTGTTAGCGGAGACACAGCCTCTCGTGATCTGCCCTTAATCATTCCATCGATCGTGAAATGAATCAATTCGAGATGCAAAGGAGGCCGCGGACCTGGCAGCTGTACACACACACACACATGGGCACACACACACACACACATGGGCGCGCACACACACACTCACACACATCACAGTCACGTCTAAGAGGGAGTATATATAGTGGACTTTGAGTAAAACTTTTCCTCACTCATTTTGATCGAAGATGTGTTATGGGAAACCGGAGCACACGGAGGAAACTGGAGCACACGGGGGGGGAAACCGGTGCACACGGAGGAAACCAGAGCACACGGAGGAAACCTGTGCAGATCTATTTTTTCACTTTTTCTAAATTTTTTCCACCATTATCCAAACTCCTAGTCGAGACTTCCAGTTACTTACAACAGCAATACAAAAATATTCTGGTCTGAGTCGATAGAAAATGGCAAAAAAAAAATCTCAAAAATGTTGCTAAAGAAAATGTTGCGATGATAAATATTGAGCCCCATATCATCCTATATCGTGACAGGTCGAGCTCAGACTGCAGCTTCGTACCTGGAAATGTGCGATTCTAATTTTTACAGCTGAAAAAACTCACCCAATATGGCATCCTAACCAAGCTAACAAACTCATCAATGCGTTTTCCCTGAAATAGATGAAAGATATGGATTTTGGCAGTTGCAAAGCGTTGACTTTTGGGAACAATTTATCTTCATTTTACGGTAGTCTATTTGAATGTAGACCTATAGGCTTTACATGACAGGAAATAATTAGTATATAGATTTCCAGAAAGTAAACAACAACTCAAAGTTACTGCAGTGCCAGGTACAATATTCAGTGATGCAGATTTTACCATGCGCAAAAACAAACTTTAAAGTTCAACTGGCCAGAAAGTGTATTTAATTAAGAAGATATATGCATGAGAAAAGAGTGTGTGTAATGTATTGGGGGCCTGCTATGCATCACATTACTGGGCTGTTTTGCACAATACGTCGGAGAGAAGGCACTTATGAGCTGAAGTGGTGCTTTGAAGAGTTTAAAGAAAGATTAACATACATATATTATTTTGATATAGAGCTGGAGTCTCTAATTTGCAAACAACAGAAAAAATATCTACGTAATCAAATTCATCAAACTAGTTCCTTGTTCTCAATACAGTGTGGTTCATTTCAATTCAAATACATGTTTTAGAACTCTGTGACAGATTTTTATCTATTTTCTTAGGCAGAAATGCAAAATTAGAGGACCACTCTTGCTTAAAGGGTCAAATAGTGACTCCCTGTATGTGAAAAATAAAATATTGTTCTAATAAAATGAATTATCTGATTTGTTTAAAATGTCTTGTTGAAAGAGTCTCTGTTTAGACTTTCTGTTCGAAAAAATAAAAGTTATGTTTCTCACCTTTAAGAGCAAACCCACCTCTTGTACACTAGTATTTACTGTTGTACATCATTTGTGTTCAAGATTGTGTATTACAACGTTGTGTATACTGTATGTGGTGTAGAGAAAAGCTAAACCTGGGAGAAAGAGCATGCGATATGGCTTGTTGTAATTATACCGACTGTTTGTCCCTGTCGAATAAATAAACACAGAAAGTACATAAATAGACTTGATGATCTCTTGATTGTCAAAATTTGCCCCGAAAGTAGTAAATTGCTGACTCAAAAATGAAAACAAAAATAGATCTGAGAGCCTGAGAGTCAGTATTACCGTTCTAAGCACAGCCAGTGTGAATCAGAGTCAATCATGTATGTGTTGGACGGTGGGCGGGACTCGGGAGCCTCGCAGCGCCCGCATTAACAGGGAGGACGTGCTCTACATCATTTATCACATCATACAGTAACGGTATTCGGCCGTAAAACACTAGTACACTTTTCAGGCTACAACAGGAGACGTTTGTGAAGTCGAGGCCAGTCCCAGGAGATAGACAGTAATCATATATAATCCTATGAATCCTATCAGTGCAGAGATAAGAAAGTAGTGCTAAGAATTACGACTGTTTAAATAGTGGCAAAGTATATCGAGATGCTTCGTGAATAATGACTCTTCTGCGTAGCATTCTTCTGCCGTTTTTCACAGACTATTAAATTATCTCAGACTCTCATACACCGCAGACATTTGGATTTATACGTTATCAAATGAGAGGAGATGGTTTGAAGCAAGGAGTATACTGCGGGAGTCGTGGCTATAAATACTGCCGCGTTGTTTTGAGGAGTTTTGTCAAAGAGTTAGGGTTTTGAATATTGTGTTTCAAAACAATGTGTGTGGTACAAAGCCAGGGTTTAAGTGGCATGAGGTGGAATTGTTTAAAGCTGGGGTATGTAACTTTTTAGCTACAGAAAGAACACATATTTGTAAGTCGCAATAGAAAGAGTTGTGCTTAAATATTAAATTTTGGGAATAAAATCTTTATCAGAAAACAGCATTTGTAAGAAAGATAGGGCTCTTTCTTACAAATGCTGTTTTCTGATGAAGACGCTTTGGGTTGAGAGATTATTGGCGAGATGATGAATGTGGTCCTCTCCTTTTTTACTTTTCTGTCTGATATATGCCAAAAAACATGTGAAAACTAGTGATAAAGCCAAACTTTTTTGAGATTGAGAAATTATTCCATGGACATCCAGTTGTTCCAATGTTGTGGTTTGAAAGTTAGGTACCCCAGCTTTAAATGTAATCAAATGTAGCTTGTGGGTGTAGTCGGACGATCTGACATTGGTGTCAGACAGTAATATTGTGTATCACACAATATTACTAATATCATAACAATAATACTTGTTATGATTACTGATATTCTGTCATTATCAAAAGTACGGTGAGTAAAATCTCCCCAAAAACTCAATGGAAACTACTCGTCAAAATATGGAACAAAAACAATGCAATACAATACAAACTTACAGGTGATGAAATAGTTGATGTTCCTCTTGAACTCCAGGCCCATGTAGTTGGGGCTGAACTCCTGAAACTTGATGGTGAACTTGATGTCCTTCTCTGGCTTGTTGCAGGTGACCAGGACATTTGGATCCAGCACAGTACTGCAGCTCTCCGCCTGCACCTGCTTCACCAAATACAGCTTGTAGAACTCATAGTCCCTTCCCGCGTCCGCCTTGGGGCAGATGATGTCCAGTTTATCCCCAATGTCTGGGTAGATCACCAAGCCCTTTCCGGTGACAAACCTGCAAGCAAAAGGAAAAGCAAGACATGTTAAAAAGAAGTCTGAAAAGGCAGGGTGTAATCGTACATAGTTTATGAAGGCTTAATACTTTGAGCTACAGGAGTTATGGGTTTAGATTTGTCTGGAGAAGGCTTTTAGGCGGTGTGTGCAGTTAATTTGCCACCAAAGGGAGAAAAAAACACTGGTACGTGTAGCGGCATGACATTTTTCAGAGCTGGTCGACGCACAAATCCTCTGAAGTTATTTCCCATACTCTGGATCTAAATCAAAGCATACCGAAAGTTTTCAGGGACCGAAACAAGATGGTTAGACATAAAATGGCTGCCACAGAAAAGGCTGCAGATGGGATTAAGTCCAAAATACTTTTCTCAATTCTTCCAGCTCTCAACATGAGATCAGTGTTTAAAGTTAATATTTATGTGCTTGTATTTCACAAGTCCAGAGTTTAGGGGGAAAACATTGGCTAAGGGTCAGGGCGTGGGTTAAGACGCCTCAGTTCATCTTCCTCTGCCATGATCATGGAGTGGGGATTAGGATAATCCATGTGGCCTTACTGTACCTCTGCACCTCGCGCTCCGCTGCCAACTCAATCAGATCATCTCTTGTTCTCTATTATTCACTAAAGGTGGGGAACAGGAGGAGGCTCAGTGTGAACCATGGGGGCGGGGGATTGTTATGCGATTGGGCAGTTTGTGTGTACTGCACTGTTGTGTACGTGAGTGTGTTGGTGTGTGGGTCAGCAGAATGGGCTGAGGTTGCAGAGTACTGAGGGGGGGGCAGACGGGCTGAATCATTGTTCTGGACTTGTTTGAGGCTTAAAATGTCAACATGGTTCAGCTCTGCTGTCCCAGTTAGCCAAGCATTAACCCAGACAGGCGGACTGACCAGGGCTGTTTGTGCAGTGTGTGTATGTATGTGTGTGTGTGTGTGTTGTAGTCGTAGACAGCGGGCGCAGCAGCAGGGCTATCTGCTAGATCTGCCCATGCCAGCGGATTTAAGCAGGATTTAGCAGCGCGCAATGCATTTGTTGTTCTTTCTGATCCCTCACGTTTTAACAAGACATCAGGGCTGGGCCTCACTCTGTCTCTCTGACGCTTCCTCCTTCTTGTATGTGAGATAATCTCACCTTATCTCCTGCCCCTCATTTCATCATCACACACATCATTTCACCGCTAAATAACTGACTCTCCAGACAGGCCGGCCGGTAAGACAGCCTTGATGCCTCCTGAAAGAGACTGATAGAGCCCGGTCTGTCTGGACAGTGACAGCCTGATGTTAAATGCTGGCAAACAGCCAGCTATTGTACAAAGCGATCATTTAAAAAGTCCCATTTCTGCAGAGATGCCCCCATGAAAATGAACATGATTGGATTAAAGCTTTTTCACAATGCTTGGTCATTCTTCATAGACAGGGAAATTACCAATAAATGACTTCATTCACAAAAGAGATAAATGCAAAATGAAATTCTCAAAAATGTGGCCCACCCCCTCGCTCACTATAATGTCATGAAAGCCTAAGAGCAGCAGAGCACGGCTTGGAGCGGGTGAGACGTTATTTCCACGCCATTGTCTGATGCTTATGGGGCTGGAGGCGGAGGGGGGCAGCACTAATTCAAGGGCTGATAAGAGCAGGACGTGGGGTGTCCTTTGTCCTGTCTCACCCGACAATTTGCTTTCTTTCAGCGGTGAGCCTCATTTTGCATGTTCCCCGTGCGTGTGCCTAAGTATGCTTGTGTGTGAGTGTGTGCGTGTGTGAGTGTGTGTGTGTGTGCATGTGTGTGCACAGCCCTTGTCAAGTGCATGGCTCTATGAAGACATGGACACAATCAGTCTCTAATTGGATCTACAAAATGCATCAGTGAGGCATAAACACGTTTCCATGGCAACATTAGGCTTCCCCATGCACACACACATACACAAACACACACACACAACCACCTCAACAACTCTATAATATGGGTCCCCTCTATTTCGCCTGCAATCTCATTCCCTTTTTTGTGGCTTTATCCTTGGTTCTCATTCCCCTCTTCAACATTTCCTTCATTCTGTTTCTCTCATCACCCCCCCATCCCATTTTGATCACCCCTACCTCCCTCTCTTTCTCTCTCTTTCTCTCTCTCTCTCTTTCTATCTCTCTCCTCCGCCTACGACACACAAAAACACCTACACAAAAACAAGCGTGAAACCAGACGCGCCTGGCAACATCAATACCGAAACGGGATGTGTCCCACTCAACAAGTATAGTGCCTATTTTCCGCCTCTCTGAGCACAACTTTTTTTTTTTTTTTCTGAAGCTTCTGTCTAATAAGTGTTGCAAATACAAGAAAGACGCTTGGCTCTGATTTAAAACAATTGACTCTTACACTCCATTTCTCTTTCACATCCCATTTATTCCGCTATCAAAGCCGGCTGCAACAATTTAGATGAATAATTAAGATATCCAAAATCTTAATATCTTAATATCCCTGAAGGATTATATCACAAGCCGGCCCCTCTGTCATTGATTCAATTTTGTGAGAGGGCCGTGCTTGGAGTTGGCGGTTAGATAGCTATCCTAAGTGAATTCTGCGCTTGTGTTTCCCAGCCTTTGTTAACTGTCTGCTATAATGAGGCTCTGGCTGCTGTGGAGGTCTGGAAGCGCCTTTGCAGATGGGAAAGAAGCTACATAAAAGAAATAGGGCAGCAATTAGTGTTTAGCCCAGTTTAAAAGCCCTACACTTGGCAAGCCGCGGCGCAGCTCCAGTCCAGGATGTGAATCTAAACTGGTGGGCTGGGACTTTGTCTTTCTGCCGGCTTAATCAGCGCCACTCCGGTGCTACACACAGCCGCGCAATGGAGAGGAGGAGACGAGTGACTGACGATTATTGTACTTTTGAGGAGGTCGAAAGGGAAACCGGGGGCTGCGGCTTGAATTGCATCTTTCATTCTTGTTGTCCAGAGACTTTATAAAACCTGTTGATGAAAGACTGAACGCACAGAGGAAGATCCAAGCTAGCCGGGGACGTTTCTGGGAACTGACCCCCGGCCGCACAGGGGAACGCTTGATCCCCCTAACGTGAAAAACGAGGTGGATTTGCCTGAACCAAACCAAATAAAGACAATCATTTTCCAAACAGCCAAATGAGGTTGGTTTTGTTTCATCTGGATGGCTCCGTGGCGTGCTCAATCCTGTAAAGAGCTTATACAAACAGAGCGGTGAGAGAACAGAAAACAACGGCGCCCCCCCCCCCCCCCCCCCCCCTTCCCCCCCTCCCCTCTCCTGTTGCATTCCACTGGTGAATATGAGCACATGATCTCACATATGCTGCCCCACACACATGCACGGATGTCGAACACACAAAAGCACTGTGGGGTGCATCCTGGACCTTCCCAGCCGCCTCTATTCAAGCCTCCTGCCCTCGCGACTTTCATAACAACGCCGCCTACACTAGCCCACTCAGAGCCCTTCGCCGTGCCTCCAAGGGCCCTTCCCCCTGGCTCTCTCTCTCCCTCTCTCTCTCTCTCTCTCTCTCCAACCCCCGGGCCGGTACACTGGCAGCCGGCCTGTGGACCAATCTGTGAATGGACCCCGGCAAAAAAACAGGGATCCAAAAGAGAAAAAAACCGAAGAAACTCACTCACATCCACAGAAAGTGTCAGATTGATTTGTTCTTTCTAAACGGTGGCGTGAACATGGCGTACATATCAATTCGAATCAATCGCAGAGCCGCCAGTGCCCGTGCCAGGTCAGTGTGTGTGTGTAAAAGGGGGAGCAGCGAGATCCTCTGTCGCCGCACACGAGCTCTCAGTCCCTCTCTTCATGCCCTCTAACCCGCTATTGTCCGTGACGCCAGAGACATTTACTTTCTTTATCCTGTCCCGGTCCTGTTTTATGACTTAAACATGCTTATACCCCGGCACAAGTGTGGCTCTTTAGCTTTTCCTCCCATTGTTTGGAGGAGTCTGTCAATCACGCAGAATGTGTCTGGCTGTTAAAGTAGACTCACATAAAACTGCGCCAAAAGAGCTCAAGTCATAAATAACTCCGGCGTTGGACCGAGAACAACCCGTCTCTGCTCATTTATAAATTACAAATGTAGACCTTGTTTTTAACGCCTGATTTACAACTTTTAATAACGAGGAAATGTTTTTTACACGGGTATCTTTAATCTAATCTGCTCAGTGTTTAGATAACAGTCTGTAGCCCTCTCTCCTCTTCTCCTTCTTGTCCAGTGGAACGGGTCCAATTGTTTTACGTTTTCTTGCCGTCCGACGAGGGCTATCATAATCGAAATCTCACTGTTCATGGGTCGTAAATAGCTAATTATTTTCAAATAAAAAAGGGACTTGGGAAGCAAAAACTTGGGGAATGTAGGAAAACGCCTCTTAATTTGTCAATGGAACCCAATATTTTTTGGCAATGGAACAACCAAGAATTCTTTCTCCTTCCACATGAGACATCTAGTATTTTAAGCCAAAACATGGATAAATATAGTGAGAAAAGCATTTATATATTTCAATATTAATTTTATTTCTAGTAAACAACTCAAACTTGTTCAAAAATTAGCTTCACATAAACACTTTTTTCATATGGAACTTTCTTGAAGTTTTTTTTACCCTGAACTAAATTCAACTTTTTTTTTTTTACTTATTAGAATATTGACAATCACATTTCAATGTTAGAAAAACACAGTACAATTAGATATATTGCCAAAATTATGCAGCAGGGCAGTCCTTTTGAAGAAGATGACATAGTCTGGGATCGCGTCTTTAATTCAGACAGAAGACATGTTTTATTGTCGATGGTAGAGACAGCACGAACAAAGCACACGATCACAGATACAAGAGAATGCAAGTGTATTATACAGAGCGGAGGCATGAAGACCTCCAATCAGCAGCTTCCACGGTGTGCTTGTAGCTTGGCCTTCAGATAGACAAAACAAGGGAAAAGTACAGGCTTCTGCACATTGATAGATTGATGAGTTTAACTTTAACAAAAGTTGCTTAAAAGTGTTATGAAATC